AGGCTGAATGGTAACGACGAGGGCCATTTTTGTAATTAAAAGCTATTTTAGTCCCAAAATTCAATTATAAAAGCTTCTTAAATTTATATTTATTTTATCCTAAATTTTTTAAAATTATAAAATTAAATCTTTTACTTTTTAGTTTTTAAATTTAATCTAACTTATTATACACTAAATTAAAAAAATTTAAATATATTTGGTTAATTACTTTTAAAAATTTTTAATTTATCAACTATTTATTATACACCAAATTAAAATTTTAAATATTTATTAAACAGTAACAAATAATTAAAATTTTACCTGTTTAAATAATATTTTTTGTTTTGACGTTGTTGTTGCGGTAACTTACACTGTCCCAAATACACCTTTAGAAAGATCGCTCATTAAAGCGGTACGTGAGCTGGATTCAGAACGTCAAAAGATCGCCCATTAAAACAGTACGTGAGCTGGGTTCAAAACGTCAAAAGATCGCCCATAAAAGCAGTACGTGAACTGGGTTCAGAAGGTCAAAAGATCGCCCATTAAAACGGTATGTGAGCTGGGTTCAGAACGTCAAAACATCGCCCATTAAAGCAGTACGTGAGCTGGGTTCAGAACGTCAAAAGATCGCCCATTAAAGCGATACGTGAGCTAGGTTCAGAACGTCAAAAGATCGCCCATTAAAGCGATACGTGAGCTGGGTTCAGAACGTCAAAAGATCGTCCATTAAAGTAGTACGTGATCAGGGTTCAGAACGTCAGAAGATCGCCCATTAAAGCAGTACGTGATCTGGGTTCAGAACGTCAAAATTTTAAGTTTTTTTTTTTGGTTTTAATAATTAATATATGTTCAAATTAATATTTCTTTTATTTTAATTTGTCAAATTTATAAATAAAAATATTTAAAAAATTTATCAAATTTTCTCTTTGATTTTAAATAATTAGCTTAAATTTTAAAAATATTTATAAAAAAATAATATCACAAGTAAAAATTAATGTTTATTAATCATGGGTTATATCTTTTTTAAATATTGCTTTTATTTTTATAATTTATAATTTTAATTTTTTTACAATTTTGTTTTTTATTTTTATAATTGGGTTAATAATTAAAATGTTTTAATATTTACAGAAATTATAATAAAACAATTTTTTTTTAATAAAATAATTTTCCCACCCCCACGCGCGGAGTATATGAACAAATCTTTTGAAGAACCTTTTGTGGAAGATAGAAACACTCATCGAAATTTTTCTCCGGCGGTAGCCCTCAGAATTTAATCAACGAGCAGGTGGAAGGATTTCTTTGATTCTTGAAATCACATTCAAAATTACCTGTTTATACTTCAATTGTTTATAGTATTTCCTTGAGATTTGGTCTCATCTCTTATCTTCTGTGTTTGTTTCAATCGAAAAGTTTGTTTCCGCGGAGAAAATCTTGCGTTTTCGAAGCATTTGAAATCGCGTGGATTCATGATTATATCTGCTTTTTTCTGTGTAGAAAACATCTTAGCATAAAATTTCCAGTCGTGAAGAATTTGGTTTGTTCTGAATTTTTGCTGTTTTGTTCGTAGGTTGTTGCGATTTTGAAGTGAGGAGAAAATATTGAAGAGAAAGGGAGACAGCGGAATCGAGGAGATTCATGAGTTCGTCTTCAGTAATCACTCCAGAAGATGTGTTGGAGTCGCTGATGAATGATGGTACTATCGATTCTCTTAGGTTGAAGATCATCAACCAGCTCAAAGCCAATGTTAGTCTCGCTTCCTCCGTAATCATGTTTTAATTTCTTTGGGTTTCAAATTGACATCATTGAACTGATTCAACTATGTAATCTTTAGCTCGCAATTAAACACATTTGGGATGCTTGTTTTGAGATTTTGATAAGCCGAAGATTATCAAGTTTGGGTGAAATAAGTTGTAGAAACCAAGTCGGATTAACAAACTTGTAATCTTGGTAACTCACATACCAAACATTGGTTTAAGTTATTGAGGAACTTGGAGCTATGTCAACTGAATCATTCTCTCTAGTGTTCTTAGGAAGTAAAGTACTACATTATCTCATTGGGGTGTCAATAGCTGATAGAATCTACTCACTTCTATTGTGAATTCATGGCTTTTCTGTTTGTAAGAAAAATTGTATGTTCTCTTGAGATTTCTTTTGTTCTATTAGTTTATCTAGCAGTTGTTTGAATTTGGATTTCATAAGGTGATAATGTGATTGAGTGGTCTTTGAGCCGTTGTTTTCGGGCTGCGCATTTGACGAGTCTCTCTGATGTGTATTTTCCTTGTTGTAGGAGGAGCTTAAGAACACCACAATTAAAATGGTAGAACAGAGCAAAGTCCTCAACACGCCTGGGGCAGAGAAACAGACCAAAAGAGAGTTATTTGATGCTCTTCGACAGGAACTCGAGTCAGTATTATCTCTACTTTATTGTTTAAATGTCTCCTCTCTTCTTTATACACGTTTTCGTGAGCTGAACTGAACACGATCAGGCACTTAAAACTTCATCACAGCATGTAATTTAAATTTGTTGAAAGGATTGCATACTTAGTTTTTAGTTTTCCATCTTGTGAGGTCTGTGGTTGAAGCATATTCAAGTTACTACGAATACAAATATTTGAATAAGCATCAGTCCTGAAGAGAGTTATTTGTTTCCATCAGGAACAAAAACTTAATTAACAATAAATTCTTGCAAAATAATTGAAGAGAATACAACATCCACAAGCTTTAAAAAAGCAGATTATGTATCCTCGTATATGTTGACGGTTTCAGAATGTCGTACCATGCCAAGAATGTTCATGATGATTGTCTGTTTAAGAGAATTCCTCTATTTCTCTCTACCTCTCTCTCCCCATTTTCTCTTTTTCCTTGCTAAATTGTGCATCTAAGCGAACAAAAGTCTTAATACATGTTTAGGTTTCTGATAATTTTACTACTCTTGGATGTTATGCAGAGCACCCGTGCTTGAGAAAGCCTCTAAATCTGTTTGGGAATTGATTTTGGACAACGGTGGATTGGGCAAAGAAATAAACGACACAGTCGAAAAAGTATTTTGTCGACTGAGTGGCAAGGAACCTCCATTGTTTCCTCCCGAAAATGGGGATATCCCATCGGTCAAAGAAACTGAGAACGACAAAGGGAAAGGAAAAGAACCTGAAGATGATTATCACAAGGAGAAATCACAACCTGTTAGGAAAAGGAGTTTCATTGACATGAATGGCAAAGACGAAAACAATGTCGTAGATGGAGCTGGAGAAAATCTAGCTGCAACTGAGGAACATAGTAGGTCACCTTAGTCGAGTTTGAAGACAAAAACATGTCATAAACCATGCTAGGATGGCAGGTCTTGCAGGTCTGTGATCATTAGCTCGAGTTTTTCGTACTTAATCTGATGAGCATGGCCTGTCAAACACAAATGAAACTCGACACTATGCACGCTGCACACGCAATTGATGGGTCCGAAATTATGTTTGTGTGGATGTATATGAACACTTCCATGATCTTTAATGCTCTGGTTAGGAAATAGGACAGTTAGTCGTTAAAAAAACTAGCTTTTGTAGCCTAATCTATCCATGTCAATGCTATGAAAAACAATACAAATATTGATTGGCGTTGTTGTGCAGTATTCAGTAGATTACATCACTGATTAAGTTTTCAAGAATCTGTTCTTTTTTCTTGTTCTGTTGGCAGTGTTGTGTGTTACTCTGGTTTGCGTTGAATTAGATTTGAGTGTTCTAACTTTAATTTAAACCAGATTTCAGTGGTGGTTCAAAGGCAGACTGGTTGGTTTATAGGTCTAGAGCCAAGAGGCAAATTTTATTTGGAGTCGGGGCCTTGTGCAAGCTCTACATCGAATGCCGTTATGACAGATCCTTTGGAATTTTTGGTTTAATTATGTACTTACCTAACTTATTGTTAGCAAATATTGTCCTCTTTGAGTTTTTCTTCCTGAGCTTACCTCATAGGGAGAGCTTTCCATACCTTTGTAAGGAAACTTTCTCTCAAGGTTTTAAGACGCCTCTACTAGAGGGAGAATTTCATACCCTTGTAAGGAAGCTCTCTCTCAAGGTTTTAAAACGCGTCTATTAGAGGGAGGATTTCATACCCTTGTAAGGAAGCTTTCCATCTTGAGCTTCCTCTCAAGGTTTTAAGACGTCCCTTATGCAAGGTTTTAAAACGCATATGTTAGGGAGAGGAGATTTCCACGTCCTAAGGAAACTATCCCTCCTTAGCTTCCCTCAAAGTTTTGAAATACATCTACCGGGGAGAGGTTTCCACACCCCTTTGTAAGAAATGTTTCGTTCCATTAGGGAGAGAAATGTCCATTAGAGAGAGAAATGTTTCGTTCTGTTAAGAAGATATTTCCCCGTACTTATAAGGTTTGCTCCTCTGTCCAAGATTTCCCGATTTCCCCGGGATCTCACATTCAATTTTGTATCTATCTAGTTCATGAATTTTTAAAAAATATCTAATAGATATTTATACTTTTAGTTTTTTTTTTTTTTTTTTTTTTT